TAGCTACTAGCCGCATGTGGCTATTTAAATTTAAATTAATTAAAATTTAAAATTCAGTCCCTTAGTCACTCTCGCCACACCTCAAGGGTTCCGTTCATGTGGCTAGTGGCTACTCATTTGAACAGAACAGATAATAGAACATTTCCACATTTCCATCATTGCGAAAGTTCTACTGGGCAGTGCTGATCTAGAAGCCAACTGAAGAAAATATCTCAGGGACAGGGAATGTGTCAAAACTGCTGATTAGTAATTTGAGGACTGAGACTTGACTGTTAGATTTAGTTATGTGACGACCTCTTGACAGCTAAGCAATTTTGGTAGAGTGGGAGACAAAAGCCTGATAGAGGTGTATACAGGGTAAAGTGGAAGAGAAGAATTGGAATCAGAAAATATAGACACCTTGTCCGCAACCTTGGGCTTTGCCTGGCAGAGTCTGCAGTCTACTGGTGCAGTCACGTCATGTCGGTCACGTCCACACTGACATTGCCGCTGCTGAGGGGCCTGACAGGCACGGCCTGGGGCTCGTGGTGCTGCATGCCCAGATCCATTTCAGGTTGCCGCAGGAGCAGCTGAGGACCTTGGATGTTGCCATTGGGTTCACCTCCTGCTTCCTGTTTCCTTCTGCCATGGGGCTGGGTCTTGTCACACCTGGAGAGCTACAAAAGCAGGGGAGTGAAGGGGTCCTCTCCCTCACCTTGTGACCTGACTACCCCCAGCCTGTCCTGATCATGTCTGCTGCATTCCTGGCTGGCCTCCCCAGGACCATGGCCTTCAGTTACGGTGACCTCTTCTGCCATCATGACCTCTCAATTTCTCCCTGGTCACATCCTGGGACCACATATTGGTTTATAAGACCCTGTTTGATAGGCCCCCCCCCCCCAGTAACAGTAAAGTCTATTTGAACCTTGAAAAAAATAAAAGAAAGAAAATATAGACATCTCTTTAAAGATTTGCATTTCGAACAGCTGGGGTGAACTTACTGCAGAGTATTTGTTGAAGCTGTTCCAAAGACAAACGCAGCTCTCATGCCTAACAGTTGAGTCTTTGTGGTGCATAAAAACCCACGGCCCAGTGACTCTCAACCCTATTAGAATCATTTGAAGAGCTCTGAAAGCATGACTGCCTGGGCCTCTCCCCCAGAGACTGATAGAACTGGTTGGGAAGGGACCCAGGCATTGTTTATGTGAGTTTTGCTGTTTTTTGTTTATTTCCTTGGGTGGTTCTAATATTCAGCCACGGTTCAAGACCCGCTGACTGCCTTCAACCAAACGAAAATACTAATGCATGATGATTCCTAATCATGGTCCAGAATTATATGGAAGTTTATAAATATGTTGGAGAATTTATAAAGTCGGCATTTATTTGATACAAAAATACGGCATGCTATTTTGGTAAGCTTTTCTGCCAGTGATTTGGAGACTTGAGAACGTTAAGAAGGAAATCGACACTAGATAATCTTAGTAAAGACTTTAACACTATCCATGGGTGAACAGACATTCTGGTTTATTTTGTGGGTGCAGTTACTCTCGCAGCAACACTATCTGATAATTCCACTTCCCCAAAGAAAAGCTTTTGTTCATTATAAAAGCTTTGAAGTAGAATCAAATTCTAAACTTGGGGAATCACATTTCCTCTAAAACTGGTAGCGTCAAGTGGAATAAATCAGAGAAAGACAAATACTGTATGATCTCACTTATATGTGGAATCTAAAAAATAAACAACACACCAAAACACTCATGGAAAAAGAGATGAGACTTGTGGTTACCAGAAGCAGAGGGTGGGGGGAGGGAGAAGTGGAGAAGTTGGTGGAAAGGTACAAACCTCCAGTTACAGGGTAAGTACCAGGGATGTAACGCACAGGGTGACTACAGGTAAGACTACTGTATGATAGGTGGGAAAGTTATTCAGTGAGTAAATCCTAAGAGTTCTCATCTCAAAGAGAAAATTTTTTTCCTTTTCCCTTTCTTTTATTTTTATTGTATCTGTATGAGAAGATGGATGTTAGCTGAATCTATTGTAGTAATCATTTCAGAATATCTGTAAATCAAACCATCACGCTGAACTTATACAGTGAAGTATGTCAATTTTTTTTCAAAACTGGAAAAAAATGTGAAAAAAAAACCCCAACTGGTAGCATCTTTTTTTTCTCCCCAAGCCCCCTGGTACACAGTTGAGTGTTTTTCAGTTGTGGGTCCTTCTAGTTGTGGCACGTGGGACACTGCCTCAGCATGGCCTCATGAGCGGTACCATGTCCACGCCCAGGATTGGAACCGGCGAAACCCTGGGCCCCCGAAGCAGAGCGTGCGAACTTAACCATTCGGCCATGAGGCCGGCCCCTCATAGCGTCTTTAAAACCAGAAAATTTACATGGTGACTCAAGCTCCATAAATTAGATGTTTGTTTCTGTGATTCAGTTATCCATTCCCTATCGTGGCACTTAAAAAAAATATCTGGCATGTTTCCATGAAAAACACTCAACAGGTATTACTTCATTTCCAGTGTAGTTGGAAATAAAATGACCCATTAAACCGCTGTGGGACATGACTCTGTTTTTCTCATATCTGAAAGCAAGTATCATTGACTAGTTACGGATCTAGGGTGCTTGCCCTTCCCTTGAAAGCCCTGAAGCACTCCCTGTCTTTGCCATTCATCTCACTACCTAGTCTGATACTCACTGCTGTTTGTAATGTGATGTGAATGTGAAATAAATGACGGTCTGCTACAATACACAGGTCTCCTCTCCATCAGCGCCAGCTCCTCAATCTAAGAGAGCTAGGAGATTAATTTCACCTTTCCCTCTTTACCAAAACAGTGCTTTGAACTTTTAGATAGCCATAGACAAAATAGGACTAATCTACAACTTGCGTAATTAATTCCTAAATAATCAAAAAATAGATTAACCCTGCAATCTGAAATTTAACAATTACATTTGAGAATACTGCATTACTCCTCTAATTATTTTACTATTTCGACTACCAAGGCAATATGATCTTAAAAGACAGAAATGGACTGAGCATTTACTTACAAATCCCCAAATATTAGAATTGAAATATGACATAAAGTCTACTTCAATAAAAAGGAATTACTACTTTGTAAGACAAGTGGCAACCTCACAAACCTGGCATCAAGCATTTATAAAACAAAAAAAACTGAAATAATTAAATCATTTCCAGACTATCACTGCCTCAGAACTAATCAAATAAAACAAGAAACTGCTCGATGATTTTCCTCAAATTCCCCTCTCTTTTTGAGAAGCAGTACAGTGGCCTGATAGAGCTGGAGATCTGAAGCCAGGCATCCTGGGTCCACATCCTGGCTCTTCCACTTACTGCTGTGTGACCGTGGGCCAGCTGGTCCTTCCTGTGTGCTTCAGGTCTCCCCCTTTTCCTCTTCTGTAAAATGGCGCTAGGGCCAGGGCACACCTGTCTCATAGGATGTGGTGAGGAAGGAATGTACAACGTTCAAAAGATAGTGCCTGCAGCTAGCTACTATCAGTAAGTACTCGAAAGATAAACAAGTGATTTGGTTATCTGACCTCGAAGAAACACAGATATTTCAAACTGCTGCTCACTTTGAAGATTCAGTGTATTTTAGCAAAAAGTGTCATTTCAGTAATTAGACCTTTGGAGGTGGTAAAGAAATGAGATTAATTGGAGAAGGATTTGATCTTGCTCCTTTTGAGTTGCAAAGGTACCTGCTTTATCTTTCAAGTAAAAGCTTGCTGTGGAGTGCTCAGCCTTCCATTCTGGTCAAATCAGACTTATAGTAAAGGTTGAGGTTGCTAGAAAACTTGTGGATTTTCATAGCTCAGAGAAATTGAGAAAAACCTTTCTCAGTAAGATTGCCGTTTCCATTCTTTAACGTGTCAGGAGACAGTACCCGGTGCTGAGACATTTGTCATTTGTGAGAAGCACCAACAGCTCAGTGGTTAGGAACAAAGGCGTCAGATGCCTAGTTATAATTCTGGTTCCCCTACTCACCAGCTGTGTGACCTTTGACAAGCTACTTATCTTCTCTACCTCAGCTTCCTTATCTGTAAAATCTGGATAATAACTGCTATTTCATAAGGTTGTTGGGAGCATTAAATGAATTAATTCTTAAAGCTCTTAGAACAGGGCCCAAGAGAGTAAACACCCCCTCCCAAATGTTATGATTATTAAAATCTATCAGTGTAAAACATTTCACTGGTATTGACATAACTGTATAAAAATATATCTTGATCTCACCCAGAAAAAAGAAAAGAAATCCTAAAATCTACCATTTCCATTTTTTAGTGATTTGTATTGGTACGAGACATGAGGTAGTAAGTACAAATGCACATTAGGAAGTACAAGGATCACATCTTCATGCAGTCAACCTATTGCCTGAAGGCCGGACGTCATGGCAGAAGAGAGAATCGGAAGGATGATGACTTGGTGGAATCTTGTAGAGCGGATCACACATCTGACAGGGACTAGACTAAATATTTTCACTGAACACCTTGCTTCCGTCTCCTCTGTGTCAAGATTCCTCAACTTTCAAACATTCAGTCTCTTCCTAAGTAGTTTTTGTTGTTTTTTTAAAGATTTGCACCTGAGCTAACATCTGTTGCCTATCTTCTTTTTTTTTTCCTTCTCCACAAAGCCCCCCAGTACATAGTTGTATACTGTAGTTGCAGGTCCTTCTAGCTCTGCTATGTGGGACACCACCTCAGCATGGCCTGATGAGCGACACTAGGTCCATGCCCAGGATCCAAACTGGTGAAACCCTGGACCACCGAAGCAGAGCATGTGGACTCAACCACTGGGCCATGAGGCCGGACCCTCTAAGTAGTTTTTTAAAAACCAGTAGCATTAATAATGTTAGTTAGTAATGCCAGTAGCACTATCAAGAGGAGGAACAAATTCTGCTTATCCAGACAGCCATCACCTCAGTAATTTTATACCAATTTCTCACAAGCTGATAGCAAGCAAGCATACAAAGTTGGTGTTTTAGTCCGAAGAATTTTAAAGCAAGCCAAGTAACTGTATAAAATTTAAATTTTATGACCATGTTTGGACCTTTTGACATTAAACACAATGAAAATGTTCATACTCATTTCTTCCCCAAAGGAAGAATTTCTTAACCATCACTATGTTGCACAGAATAAAAATATGAGTTCAGGTACTTATTCAAGTTGCTAAAGAATGCAAACAACAGACACAATTTTACTTCCAAAATCTGAAATCATCAACATGATTTTGTAGTACTGTATCTCAGGCTTTACCTAAAAATTCATTATTATTCAGATAAAGATAGCCCCCTAGTCACATTTTTAAAAAAGCCTCTGCCCACCGCAACTTCCTGAGGTCTGTGAAACTGCAGTCTTGTGATCAGGTTCCATATGGCAGTTTGGTAATCATAAGGGAAAACCGTGACTGCTTTCACGTGTCAATCAGTTGTAGTCTGCTGATCTGATTAGAAGCCTTGACAAAGGCCTGGTGGCGATTGCAAATAACTGCCAAGCATATGGGGATAATACAGTAGCCCACCGTTTTGGGGTCAGCTCTCGTACAAGAATAAAGGAACAAAAACATCTGTAAGTAAGGTATCAGAAAAATAACTGTCCAAAACCAAAACGGCAGAGAGAGCAACCGAGCTTTCAAGGAGTGTGTCCATGTGGTTCCTTCAAGGGGCTCCTCTGGGTGCTGCTGAATGTGTTCCAAGGCCAGCCTGTTGTAAGTCTCATTGATTTCAAAAACATAGTAAAATGCTGCTGCACTTGCTAACAGATACAGTCCCACTCCAATCCATCCCATCCGCTGACGGAAGTTCATCATTCTCCATGCTCTGTGCCTTCAAAGTGAAAAAAAAGTTAGGGTCTAGCAATGCTGTCATGGCAACTATTCCAACTGTACTTGCTTTATTTCCCACGAGTTCTAAAACACCCCATAACGTATTTAAGGTTTAAAGTAAATTTACATTACTAAGAAATGTAAATAACTTACAGGTTGTTTTATGTAATAATTATGAGGAAGTAAAGTTTCACTACATACTGGGTCTGCTTTTTATGTGAATCCCACAGCATAAATAAATCACTATATCCGGCTTAAGAGGTCCAGCACATCTTCCATTAAGAAATTGAAATTAAACTAGTTTCCTACGGAACAATTCACTTTTACACTTAAAATACTTTGACTTAAAAATATTGCTTCAGACGTAAACACTTGGTTCTACAAGTCAAACCAACGTCGGGGCCCCCAAGTTAAGACAGTAACTCTTAAACACTTACAATGGTCCCGAAAATCTTCCTGTTCCCACGGCAAGCGTTAAAGAGTCACTCAGTTCTGAATAATCAGGTGGCTTTGGCATTTCAGAGAAAACCACCATAAAAGAAATCTCCGGGGTCACCGGCTGGGAGAAAGGTGAGCACGGCCAGCCTGGAGCACAAGCTAATTGTGATTAAGCAGAGCGTGACTGCGGCCGGTCACGCGGCGGCCCGCCGCCTGTCGCCGCTGCCGGAGACCCAGCCCGGGTCACCCCGCCCGGCCGGAGGCGCCCCAGCCACCCGGGCCTCCCCAGCAGCCGCCCCGCCCCCTGCCGCGCTGCAGCGCCGGCCGGCCGCGACAGGGCTGCACGGGCGGCGCCAGGCCCGAGCCTCTCCGCCTCGCAGCGCCGGGAGCCCAGCGCCGGGCAGCCGCCACCGGCCGAGCCTGCAGGGGTGGGCAGGTCCTGGATCTCACCTTCCTGTCCCGGTTGGCCAGCCCGCCCGCCGTCCCGGATGCTGCCACAGTCGGGGCTTCCGGCTCGAGCCGGAAGCGCGCGCGCCCCGCCCCGAAAGACCCGCCCCGTCGTGACGTCAGAGGCCTCAGCCCGCGGCGCCGCCTTCCCGGCGCGCCCCAAACCGCGCCAACCTGGACGCGGGCAGAGGCTGCGGCGGCGCGGGAGGCGGTGCTGCCCTTCAGGTGGGCCTGGTCCCTGGTGTCTCGCTCCGCCCCTGATCGCCCCGTCTCTCCTTCGTGCCTCTGCCCGGCCCCCGGGAGCCCTGTCGAGTGTCCATCGAGTGCAGAAGACGCCGTCCTCCCGCTCCTCGGCCTGGGCGCCGGCGACGGACTAGACACCGACAACCAGATAACCGGCGAGGGGAAGCAGGCCCCGCCGGCGGCTGTGGGCGCCCGAGGCGAGGAGCGGGTAAGGTGGCTGCTGGCCGCGGTGGGGCCGGCGGGATGCGCTGGGCTTCTCAGGGGCGGGCGTGCACACCTGCGGCTAACCCGACCGCGCCGTCCTCGCAGGCCGCCGGGCCCCCGACGCTGGCCGGACTTAGCCGTGGTACCGCGGAGGAACACCGTGAATTGCGGGGGCAGCAGTGCCCCGAAATTTCAGTCTCTCGGTTGGGGCGTCGTGACGCCGAGGCTCTTGGAGGACTGGTGCAGGGGGATGGATGTGAACCCTCGGAAAACGCTGCTCGTCGCCGGCGTCCTCCAGACCTGCAGTGTGGCAGAGATGGAGGAGGCCCTGCGGGCTGGCCTAGCTCCCTTGGGCGAGTACAGACTGCTCGGGAGGATGTTCAGGAGGGACGAGAACAGGAATGTAGCCTTAACAGGGCTTCCTCAGGAGACTGGTCCTGCTCTGGTCCCTAAGGACACACCTGGGAAAGGGGGTGTCTGGAGAGTGATCTTTAATCCCCGTGACCCAGATGACGCATTTTTAAGCAGATTAAATGAATTCTTAGAGGGAGAGGGCATGACTTTGTGTGAGTTTGCCAGAGCTCTTGGGTATGGAAACGGCCCTTTTGACCTAGACCAGGACATGATCCCAGAAGTACGGGCCCCTTTGTTGGCACAGGCATTACCTGAGGCTCTTCAGCCTGCCCTGCAATACCTGGAATACAAAAAGATGAGAATCTTCTCGGTCAGCGATCCTCCAGAACCAGACCAAGAAGAATTTGAACCCTGGCTGTTTCATATCACGCAAATGATAAAATCATGGTGGGTTTCAGATGCAGAGAAAAGAAGGTGATTGCCAGGAAGCCCTAGAAGCCCAGCATTTGATGTCATTCGTGTCCTCGATATAAACAGTCCTTTAATTACAGTCCCTGAATGCCTGCGAGCTCTTGAGCAGGTATTTGGGGTTATCATAATCCCAGGGAGTTGCAGGTCAAATATCTGACCACTTACCAGAAGGAGGAAGAAAAATTGTCTGCTTATGTACTAAGCCTGGAGCCTGTGTTACAGAAACTGGTAGAGAGGTGAGCAATTGGGAGAGAAGTTGTGAACCAGGCCCGCCTGGACCAAGTCATTGCTGGAGCAGGCCACAGAACACTGCACAGGAAGCTCGCTCTGCGCGGGGAGGCCCTGGCTTCCTGCAGCTGCTGACGCTGATAAAGAAAGAAGACGCTGCTGAGGAGGAGGACGAGGCCCTTCTCCAGGCAGGACTGGAGGGGCATTTCGTCTGAATCTTAGGAAACCAGGAGGGGACATCTGACAGCGAGCGGAGCACGGACGTTGAACAGTCCTCATACTCCAGTGATAGACATTAACCTGTCCCTACCTTGTGCTGCCAAGTAACTCATTTTTGTCCAGTTCTCAGTATAAATCCTTTGTCATTTCTGTGCCTATTTTATATCTCTTAATGTGTCATTGACTAGGAAGGCTGTAGTTCTGCGCTGGTATTTATGTATTTATTTTCACCTCCATGAATTTTTTATCATACGAAATTGTATGAAAGGTCTGTCACTACACCTGTGGTGCTCTGAGAGGATGGCAAGGCTCAGGTGCTTATGCTCACTCGATCTTGTTGAGATGTCAGCTGTGTGAACAGGTGGAAGTGTGGCGTGTCAAAGGTGATAATGGATCATAGATAGTTTTTTTTTTTGAGGAAGATGAGCCCTGAGCAAACTGCTGCCAATCCTCTTCTTTTTGCTGAGGAAGACTGGCCCTGAGCTAACATCCGTGCCCGTCTTCCTCTACTTTTTTATATGTGGGATGCCTACCACAGCATGGCTTGCCAAGCGGTGCCGTGTCCACACCCGGGATCTGAACTGGCGAACCCTGGGCCACGGAAGCGGACGTGTGCACTTGACCTCTGCCTACCGGGCCGGCCCCCATAGATAGTTTTTAGGTGTTTATTGCCCTCCATTTATCATGAAGATCTTGAGCAGTGGTTAAGAGACTTCATTATTTTCTATGTGCATCAGAATTTTACTGATTTTGTGCATTCAAAACGAGAATTAAATGCGGAGGTTGGTGAGTTTGTAGCTGCCTTCTCTAACCCGGATTTTCGATGTGCGTCATCAAAACATCTAGTTCTGAATATCCTTTTCATAGGGGTTCTGAAATTGTAGGTGTGAACTTATAAAATGAAGGACTGCTAATAAGATGACCTCTTTTATCTGTTATGTTTATATCAGGGTTCCAAGAGAGATTTCATTTGAACGAAGGGTGCCAAAAGCGTGAACCTGAAAACCACTGAATTTACACAATCTTAGTCCCTTGGACACTTTTCCTCATGGTGCCCAGGGGTAGGAAGTAGTTTCCTAAGTGAGATTGCTATAGGAACCTTCTCCTGAAGCACAATGGAGTGAAACAAGACAGTACACAAATTAGTGCAAGCTGCAGGTCCAGCTGCATCAGTGCATTGAATTTGGAGGGTGGAAGGAAAGGAATGAACATTGCATATCTCTGTATGGCATCCTGGACTTAACATTTTTCCATGTACTTTCTCAATTAATCCTCTTAAAAATCCTGCAGTATAGGAAAACTCAGTTTCGCACTTGAAATGGGCACATAAAGGTTAAGAACTTGCCCAAGGTGAAACAATGGGTTTCAGAGTTCTATCCTCTGTGTTACTGTAAGGCCCATATTCTTCCCACTGCCAAGAAGGAGAAGCAATCATAAGGGTATCTGTACCCAGCAGCCTCACAAGGGAGGCTGGGCAGATGTTACCCGCGTTTCATAAATGCACATCTTGAATGTGTTAGTGTGGAGTACGTTCCGCTGAATCACTACTGCAAACTAGACACTATTAGAAGCGGGAGTATGAGAACCTGGAAGGCCCAGGGGCAGCTGATAGACAGACATCGTGTGTGTGCACACACAGATGTGGACAAACGTTGCACCTCTCCTATGTGCAAGGCACCAAGCTGGGGAGTTTAGACTGTATTGTTAAATGTAGGTTATAATCCCTGCCATGGAGGTCTCTCCAGAATCAATAATAGTAGCTGACATTGAACACTTGCCATGGGACAGCACTGAGCACCATTGAACACCTGTGGTCCTCCAACCATACTGAGAGGCAAGTCCTTTTGTTTTCCCCGTTTTACAGATCAATGAGGCACAGAGAAGTTACACATCTTGCAGCGGGTTTCCCGGTTAATGAGTGGCGGGGCCAGGATTCACACTCTAGCCTCTATTTCCAGAGCCCTTGCTCTCCATCGACTCTATGCTGCCTTGTTAAATCCTCGCAGAAACCTGTGAGAAACATACCGTCATTTCCCCCCTTACAGACAAGAGCTGTGAGGCTCAGAAGATTCAGTCCCGGCGCAAGGGCACGTAGTCTGACTCCGGAGAGCTTCTAAGGTGTTCTGACATATGCATCTGGTAAACACCACGTATTAAAACACCATGTGTTAAAAACGGCGGTTATGTTAATGAAAGGTAAAGTATTAAAAATGTTTGTTCTTTAAATGCTATGTTTCAAAAACATGAACAAAGAGAACATTAAAATACTATAGTCATGTACCATGTCATGACTTTACACTCCAAGAGAACGCATGTACAGCGTTGGTCCCATTGGGTTAGTCCCATACAGCCTAGGTGTGGAGTAGGCTGTACCATCTAGGTTTGGTAAGTACACTCTAGGATGTTCACCCAATGATGACATCACCTAACGACACATTTCTTAGAATGTACCTCCATCATCGTTAAGCAACGCATGACTGTAGTTGTGTTGGGATGATGGAACTATAAGGGTGATTTAGTTTTCTTTCATTTCCTAAATGTGTTGTTTTTTTAAACGAAAAATAAATATGCATAGGCAGTGTTCAAAAAGCAAAAGCCAGGTGGCAAGTCAAAGGAACGCAGGAGTCAGCCTGGAAGAGCTCCCACTGGCCGAAGCTGCAATTTGAGCAACCAAATGAGTAGCATAGTATTGGGTTATGACCCAAAGTATAAAACAGATATCTGGGCCAGCCCTGTGGCCGAGTGGTTAAGTTCGTGCACTCCGCTTCAGAGGCCCAGGGTTCGCCAGTTCGGATCCTGGGCATGGACATGGCACCGCAAATCAAGCTATGCAGAGGTGGTGTCCCATATAGAAGAACTAGAATGACCTACAACTAGGATGTACAACTATGTACTGGAGGGGCTTTGGGGAGGAAAAAAAAGAGGAACGTTGGCAACAGATGTTAGCTCAGGGTCAATCTTCCTCACCAAAAAAATAAATAATATCCATGCGTTCATGCTGACATGAATAAATGAATGAATAAATAAGTATGGGAGAAGAGTCAAATTTTCCTTACAGAGGAATTTCAAATTGTATGGACATTTCCTCCAGGAGGTGGAGTTTATTCACTTCCCCCTTAAGTGTGGGCTGAACTCAGGAATAGAGTATGGAAAGGAAAAATAGTCACTTTTCGGTGGAGAAACCTGGCACGTACTAGCTTGGCTAGGTGATCAAGGTGAACAGTCATGTTGATAGCATGTTCCCCTGATTCCATGTAATGACAGGGCCACCTCACCTCTGTGGTCTTAAAACCCATAACCCCATCTATTCATGAGAAGAAAACCAGACAAACCCAGATTGAGGGACACTCTGCAAAATACCTGACCAACACTCATCAAAACCGTCAAGATCGTGAAAAACAAGCGAAGACCGAGAAGACGAGGGGAACGTGGTGAGTAACGTAACGTGGTTTTCTGGGAGGGGTTCTGGAACAGATAAAGAACATCAGTGGAAAACGACATCGAGATACAGTCTGGAGTTTAGTTAATAATAAGGTACCAGTGTCGTTTTCTTAGTGGTGACAAATGTACCACCAAATACGTTTGTAACGTAAGACGCTCCCAGTGCAGGGAAACGGGGTGAGGGTACAGCAACTCTGCACCATCTCTGTAACCTTCCTGCAGCTCTAAAACTATGCTCAAATAAAATGTTCACTGAAACGCACGCAGAGATACGCACATACATGCACACGCAAGCAAATGCCAGACGACCCGGAATGCCAACCAGAGTCATGAGGGCGTGAATGACTGGAATGCCCCACTTCCTAAAAATAGCTATTCACCCCGACACCGCTGGGTGGCGGTGAGCACTCAGGTTCGGCCTCCGCGGGGCCTGAGCCGGGAAAGGGACTGTTTCTTACATAAAGGTCATCCCTGCCCCCCTCAAAGACTGGAAAATTTCTCAAGCCGTTATGTAGAAAAATATTTAAGTACTCAATCTGGGAAAGTGACTTCCTCTCTACGCCCATGACACTTCTAGAATCTTGTAATTAGCTTGTGGGAGAGGCCTGGCCTTGGCAGATGGACTGATGCGTCTATAGAGTGAGAACATCCCTAGTGACTCCACTTCACTGCCAGCCAGAGTTGGAAACTAGATGGTTTGTAGAGATCAACTTCTGAAAGTCTCTTATTTTAAAGAGAATGACATTAGGGTCGAAAGTACTCTTTAGCTATCATGGGTCTCCCCCGCACACTCTCCTGCCTCTGCTACCAGCAAGCCTGACTCTGCTTTTGGAGGTGTTAATTTTCTTGTGTACACTTGGATTATCGTACGAACTGGAACAGTGTGTTAAATAATTCAGTGTGAAGTAGGGCTGTAGGGCTTTTAGTGCCCGTCCTGAGAGGCTGGTTGGGAGTCAGAAGGCCGGGATCTGAAATAAGAGGATTTTGCATGAGGCAGATGAGGCTCAGAGAAGGTGAGTGGCCTGCTCAAGGACACGCAGCTAGTTAGTGGCAGAGCCCAAACTTGAACCCAAATCTGAGTCTGCCTCTAGCTTGCTCTATGACCTGAAGTAAAGGCAAATTCCTCTTGGACTTCAGTTTACTAACTTGCAATATCCATGGTCCCTTTTAGCTCTAAAACTGTGTGACACAAAAGGTCTACTTATCTTTATGTGAATATCCTTAATTTAAAAATTGACTCTAAATTCTTAACACACCTAATATTTGTCACATAACACGTGTTCCCAAATATTATCAAGATATCTTTTGGTGGATATGCTTTCTAACTCCCCAGCTGGATTCTATGTTCCCCTTGACATCAAGGTATTATATCCCCATATAAGCCCAACACGGTGTGTCACACTTGGAAGGCAATAAATGTTTCGTGACTAATTAGCTGTGCGCTGGCATACCTTATGGTATGCAGTAATAGTCCTGGCTGTCATTTGTTAAGCTGTGCCCTTGTGCCAGGCGTGGAGCTAAATGCTTTATATGTGTTACCTCATTTAACTCTGACCACAACCCTTGCGGGTCTATTACTGTCCTTAACTTCAAATAAGGACACAGACCTCTGGATAGGTCAAGTGGCTTGGCCGGAGTCACACAGCTAGAAGCTACCAAAGTCTCTCTGCTTCCAGAACCAGCACCTTAAACACTGTGCTCTGAACCCAACCAGCACCACCTCAAGAGCAGGTAAGAGTACGTGAAAATAATCCTCGGTGAACTAGTTCTGAACGTATAACCTGAAACCCTGTCCATCGCCACTCCCCGATGCCTCCCTCCAAAAATAAATAGTAATGATACAACCCAGCTCATGCTGCAGGAGACAACGCTGTTAGCCACCACCTCTCTTCCCCCTTGGTATCGAAAGCCAGATTTGTTCGCCCACTTTATGGAACCGAGAATCTTAGGGGAAGCCCAGCCCTTCCCTGCCCAGTAGGAAGTGGGGGTGGTAACTCTTGATTAGTGTAAGATGATTCAGTGCCCTTTGCCAAACTGCTCATTTCAGGCGTGGGAAAATAATGCCACTGTATCCAGTGAGATAGGAGCAGCTATGTTTTTCTCTTTATTTCTGTGAGTGGGGCTCTGGTACCAGATGCCTCCATTCAGATTCTCCAGCTTCACCATTTTCTAACTCTGTGACTTTGGGAAAATTTATTAACCCTTCCCATTGCTTCAGTTTCTTCAACTGAAAATGGGGACAACTATGGCACTTACAGGGTCCTTGTGAAGTCCAAATGAGTTAATAATGTCATGCTGAGAACTGTACCTACTACACAATAAGTATGCAAGAAACAGCTGTCGTATTTGTTCTCTATTGCTGTGCAACGAATTACCCTAAAACTTAGAAACAGTTGTTATCTCACAGTTTCTGTGGATCAGGAATCTGGGAGTGACTTAACTGGTGGTTCTGGCTCCCTGACAGACTGCAGCTGAGGTGTCGGCCAGGGCTGTGGCCGTCTCTGGTGAGACCCTCCAAGCTCACCCAGGGGGACCTCTCCACGGGGCTGCCTCGTGACACGGCAGCTGATCTCCACTGGAAGCAGGAAGTCCGAGAAAGAGTGAGAGAACACCCAAGACAGAAGCAGGAAGTCAGAGAAAGAGTGAGAGTAATGCCCAAGACGGAAGCCACAGTCTTTTTAAAATCTTATCTCACAAGTGACATCCCATTGCGTCTGTCATATTCTATTCATTAGAAGCAAGTCAACAAATCCAGCCCAATCCAGCCCATACTCCAGGGGAGGAGATCACACAAGGGTGTGAATTCCAGGAGGTATCATTGGGGGCCATCTTAGAGGCTGCCTATGACAGCTTTTTTTTTTTTAACATATACAGAGAAGAAGTCTGTACTTTGTTACTTCTACTTTATGTTTTACCTTTAAATAATAAAATTCCTCTATTAGATCCAGGTTAAAAGAAAAAATCTTCCATTACATTTCTTGTCACTAATTTAACTCTTTCATGTATCAGAGTAATAAGTACGGGGCTGTTCTTTGTCCTTCCTGAAGGCTGCCAGGGGCCCTCTCAGGTTTTACAACCAGCATATGTTCGGCTTTTTAGAATACAGGCATAATTACCTCCTCAGTCTCTCTCCCCTCTGAGCAGTAAAGGCCCAACTGCTTCTTAGGTTCCAGTCCCTCCAGATCTTGCCTCCCTCCGTTTTGAGTGCCCTTTAAGGAGAAGCAATAACCCACAGGGCCCCTGACATTCCCATCCTCCTGGAACCGCAGAGAAGACTTACCTTCAACCAACCAGCTTCTAGCTTCTCAGAAACTGTAGCTTCAATTTGCAACAAAAGCTTTCAAAATATGCCTCCTTTTATTGAATGTATTCCATTTATAGAAATGTATCCTAAGAAACTAAGCAAGGATGTCCACAAAGAACGGGCCAAAAGAGTTTTCCATTGCAATATTTTCTATAACTGTGAAAAAATTGGAAACTACGTAAATGCCTAATAATAAGTGATAGCTTGAATAAAGTATGCAATGTCCAAAGGGATGCAAACTCTGTACCCATTAAACCAAATTGTATCCAGTGGAACCATACATGATTGCTGTCTTATAGGTCAACACTGGTTGAATTTTGGTAATATCATATGGTTCAACCTAATAGAAGGATATTTTTTGGTATACAAATAGGTTTATAACCTACTCTTGAGCGAGGCAAGCAGAGTACAACAGTATTTATGGAACAGTCTCATTTTTGTGTGGACAAATACACATAAATATATTTGTAAAGCAAAAAGTCTGGAAAAGCATACACCAAAATGTTCACAGTAGTTATCTTTAGGAGGAAGAATTATGGGCAATTTTATCTTTTTTTTTTTAATGAAGTTTCTGCTTTTTTCCAATGAATACTTCCTATTGGTGTAAAGTTGACAGGCTCTTAAATAAATAAAACACCGTAAGAGATCAATTCCAGGAGGCCAACCCTATTCTCTTACTTTTTATTAGTAACTTACAGTGCATTCAGCAAAGCAGGGGCTACCCAGCACCTCTGCAGGGAGCAGACGTGGCAGTCCTAGCCAGCTGGAGGGGATTCGTCCTGGAGACAGGTGTTTTCTCTAAGTGACTGATCCCCATTTCAGTTGTGCTGAGACCAGAGCAACTGAAGAAATGCGCGTGCTCCCAGGATGTCTGCATAGACACTGCTTCTCTCTCCAGCCCATTCTGCCTTCTCCCAGCAATAACCCTAGTGTTTGTTTGTGGATTCTCCCCCTATAGCTTAGCCATAGTTAGGGGTGCATCGATGATCTCCCTAATTAGACCTAGACCCATCAGTGGGTCACATTCCTATGAGGTGGGCGTGAAACCGACCAAAGCCGCTGAAGCAGGAAATCATTTCCTCAGCTCCCTCCTCCAGCCTCTCCGTTGAATTTTAGCTTCAGTTTTGGCTTGACTTTCCTGGCACTCATTCACATTACATGATTATTCCATTTTTATTAGTTTTCTATTCTTATTTCCCAGCTGTATTACTCCCTATCACCTATTGCTGCCTAACTAATTAACTTAGTGGCTTGAAACAATGATAATCGTTTCTTATCTGTCATGGTTTCTTTGGGTCAGGAATTCAGACAAGGCTGAGCGGAGATGGCTTGTCCATTGCATAGTATCTGGGGCCTCAGCTAGAAGACTTTAAGGTCGGGTGTGGCTAGATTTCTCTGGCCATTGATGCTGGGGTCAGCTCAGGGCCTAGCCGGGGTCAACTGTCTGCCAGAACACAGGACTTTGTCTGCCAGGCCTTTCCATGTGGCCTGGGCTTCCTCACAGCTTAGTGGTTGAGTTCCTAGAGCAAACATCCCAAGACTCAGGTAGAAGCCCTATCCTTTTTATGACCTAGCCCCAGAAGTCCTATAGCATCACCTCTGCTCTACTCACCAGTTACTGGTCAGGAAGTCACACAGCCCCTCCCCCACCCAGATTCAAGGAAAGAGCATAGATTTCCCTTCAGTCCTACTGTGAGAAGGGCATGTGGAATGGGATAAATATATAACTGGAAAATGCACCCTGTCTCAATGGCTACTTATCCTATATTACCACTCAGGGTAGGGTGGGGCTCTGGGTGTCTTACTGTTCCTTTAGCTGACGTTCAGCCAAACTCTCTGTATATTTCTGATGGCCGCTACAACAAATTATCCCAAACTCAATGGCTTGAAACAACAGAAATTTATTCTCTCACAGTCTAGAGACCAGACGTGCACGATCAGTTTCAGGGGTCCCAAATCGAAGTGCTGGCGGGGCTACCCTCCCTCTGGAGGCTCTGCGGGAGAGTCCAGTCCTCGCCTCCTCCACTTGGGTGGCTGCTGGCACTCCTTGGCTGTGGTCACATCACTCGAGCCTTTTGGCCACCATCTCTAAATCTCTATCTGCCCCGTCTTCACATGGCCTTCTCTTCTGTACCTGTGTCAAATCCATCTCTGCCTTCCTCTTGTAAGGACATCTGTGATTACATTTAGGGCCCGCCTGGATGATCCAGGACCGTCTCTCCATCTCAAGATCTTTAACTTCGTCGCATCTGCAAAGACCCTTTTTCCTAGTAAGGTAATATTCATGGGTTCCAGGAATTAGGAGCTGATATCTTTCGGGCCATTATTCAACCTAGCACACCCTCTGTTTTCAGTCCCGTGTCCTGACCGTCTGCTTCTGTCCCTAGTGCCTTTAACGCCTTCTAGAAGTTCCATGAGGGAAGATTTGCTTCCAATCCGTAGCCCCCTCTCTCTGGGGACTTGTGTAGCTTTCTCTTCTCTCCTAGGTCAGCACCATTCCTTCAATACTCGTCCACATTCTAAAAATGTGCTGACATTTTGCTATGGTCTGAATGTTTGTGTCCCCCCAAAATTCATATGTTCAAATGCTAACCCCTAAAGGTGCCGGTATTATGACGTGGTGCCTTTGGGGGGTGATTGGGTCACAAGGGTGCAGCCCTCACAGATGATGGATGAGTGCCCTGATAAAAGAGACCCCAGAGAGCTCCCTAACTCCTTCCACCATGTGAGGACACAACGAGAAGTCTGTGACCGGAAGAGAGCCCCCACCCGACCACGCTGGCACCCTGACCTTGGATTTCCAGCCTCCAGAGGAGGAGAAAGGAATTTCTGCTGTTTATAAACCACCCAGTCTGTGGTATTTTGCTATGCTGCCCGAACGGACTAAGACACATCTCTCCTTGGCAGTCACCGCATCCCCCTTCTCCTCGTTCTGGTAGGCTTACACTTGTCTTAGTCCTTGACTGTCATTTTGGATGAGTTTCAGGTGGAACTAGAGAGAAACATGTGTGTTTAATATACAGTGTTTAACCAAATGTCTCTCCACTGGTTTTAAATATTTTTACAAATAGCTTTGTTGCTTCTTGCATTTATTACAATATTATATGCTTCTTTTCAAAATAGTCCCCTACCGGGGTCCGCCTGGTGGTGCAGCAGTTAAGTTCGCACTTTCCACTTTGGCCGCCCGGGTTCACCCGTTTGCATCCCTGCCTAGGGGTGCCTAGGGTTAGCCCTGACCTAACATCTGCTGCCAATCCTCTTCTTTTTGCTGAGGAAGACTGGCCCTGAGCCAACATCCGTGCCCATCTTTCTCTACCTTATATGTGGGATGCCTGCCACAGCATGGCTGGCCAAACAGTGCCATGTCAGCACCCGGGATCCAAACCCGCGAACCCCGGGCCACCAAAGAGGGAATGTGTGCGCTTAACCGCGGCGCCACTGGGCCAGCCCCTACAGTTACAATGTTTTTAAAGCCCATGCCAAACAGTATGGCATTTTGTCTCTACGCACTTCAGTACACAACCCTTACAAAACACATTGTTTCTTATAATGTCCATATCACACCTGACAAAATTGTCAATAATGATTTGGTGTCATCTAACACCCACTTCATATCCGAATTTCCCTGATTATCTCAAAAATATCCTTTTACACTTAATTTATGGGAATCAGGATATAAACAAGGACCACCAAGACCCTTCATCAACATGCCCCTGACGTCTCTTAATTAAAGCTGTCCCCTTCCCTTTTCTCCGTGTGATGACCTTGTTGGACCTCCCACTTTAAAAAGACATGTAAGATGCACATTTATCTTCTCCACATTGTCCCAAAATGGCTTTGAGAGAGTCTAACAGAGTACGCTCTTCTTTCATGGAAAGCCATATTGGTGTGACTTGGAGTCCAAAGGAACCAGGTCTTGCTCAGACATCAAACTCCAGCCCTCGACATGTCCCCACAGCAGCCCCTCTACTCTGAAATTTGAGGAGCCATCTGTTTCTCACCCAAGGGTCTTGAGCAGCCCTCTCCAAGCGAAGCGGTCTTTGGGTCAGATGGCATCCAAATTCCTTCTGCAATGGCCATGGTGCCCAGAGGACGCCCTTGCTCCGTTAAGTTCATGTCCAAACTGATTTTAAAGAAGAAACGTTCAAGAAGCCTCCCCTTGAATGACTGTTTCAGAATATTACTCAAATATCTGCGAGACAAGGAAATGTATCTTTTTCGTGGGTGGGGGAGGCGGCTTCCACACCTCCTTCCTACATTTGAGGATGTCCCAGTGTTAGTGTCTTGGGGCTGCTGTAACAAGGCAGCACAAACGGGGCGGGGAGGGAGGGCTTAAAACCACAGACATTTATTCTCTCTGTTCTGGAGGCTAGAAGTGCGAGATCAAGGTGTCGGCAGGCCCTGCTCTCTGCAGGCTCCGAGGACGGATCAGCTCCATGCCTCCGCCCTGGCTTCTGGGGCTTTCGGCAACCCTTGGCGCTCCCTGGCTTGGAGGCGTATCACTCCAATCTCTGCCCCCGTTGCCATGCACATGGGTTCTCCTCGTGTCTCAGTTTTCTCTTCTTATAAGGGCACCAGTCATTGGATTAGGGCCCATCTTAATTGAGTACGACCTTATCCTAACCAGTTACATCCACAACGGCCCTATTCCAAATAAGGTCACATTCTGTGCTTCCAAGTGGAGGTGAATTCTTGGAGGACACCGTTCAGCCCAGTGCACCAACCTGACTCTGGCTGACCTAGAGAAGACACAGAGCTCACCTACTTCTATAGAAAATGAAAGCACCTGGGGCCGGCCCGGTGGCGCAGCGGTTAAGTTCACACGTTCCACTTCGGCGGCCTGGGGTTTGCCAGTTCCGATCCCAGGTGCGGACATGGCACCATCTGGCAAGCCATGCTGTGGCATACGTCCCACATATAAAGTAGAAGAAGATGGGCACCGATGTTAGCTCAGGACCAGTCTTCCTCAGCAAAAAGAGGAGGATTGGCAGCAGATGTTAGCTCAGGGCTAATCTTCCTCAAAAAAAAAAAAAAGAAAGACAGAAAATGAAAGCACCCGATGTGTGCTTTTCTAGTCTCCCTGTCAGGTACTGCACAGGTGTGGGACCTGGGCTTGGCCATTCCGACACACTCACGTAGGATTTTGTAGCTGGAGCTAGAGATTTTTCCTAAAGAAGCAGAGGAGAGTTTCTTCTAGCTGGTCATGTGTATTTGTCAGTTTCTACGTGGTAACAAACACCCTCAAATCTCAGTGGCTTCCAACAGCAAACGTGTTTCTCACTCTCAGTTCTGTGGGTGGGTTGTTGGTGGACTTCAGCTTGGTGGGTTCTGCTGGGCTCTGATGGGCTGGGCTCCAGGCCGTGGGTTGGGTTCAGGTTTGCCCCACATCTTTATTTCAGAGCTTGGGCCAAAGGAGCAGCCATCCCCTGGAGCATGCTCATCTCATGCAAGATGGCAGGAGCAGGAGAGCAGGGCAGAAACACTCTGCTCAGAAAGGGCGCATAGTCACTTTGCCATGCTCCATGGGTCAGTGCAAGTACCTGGCCAAGCCCAAAGTTGGTGGGGCAGGGAGGTGTGGGGTGGGAGAGGGGAGACAGCATCCTTCCTGGAAAATAACAATCCATCACACCATGACAGAAACATCAGAGGC